CACATTTCAGGAAGTTTTCGTAATTTGACTTTTGTGGGGGCAAATATATGCAATATACCGCATATAGTTCTTTTCTCAAGAACCATGTCACCTGCATGGCACATGGTTAGATCATCTGCTTTAAAGTCGCAAAGTAAGGCGTCATCCCTATGTCGCAGGTTCGAATCCCACTGTGGGATGTGGAGACCGGTTAGATGAGAGTGTATAAACCGAGGTCCTGTGTCACAGTAGGTGTTGCCACGATCCCTCACTGCTCAATGGCCCTGTGTGCATACCTCTTATCTCTCTTGGTTTTTGTTGATCACATCAAGCGCACTGAGGCGGACTTTGAGCGTCAAACTGGAGGGATAAAAAATAGTAAAACATGTAGTTATACCTCTCATCAAACCATTTTTTCAATGAGTAATTATACTAGGAAATCCAATTTTAGGAATAGTTTTCTTTATTACCGAGTACATGAAACTTGTTTCAATAATGTCGTAAGTCATTGTACAATGTTTTGTTTGTGTTGTCAAAATTAAATGGTGGTCTACGTGCATGTATTTGCATTGATGCCTAAAAATTAGGGACCATGTTGTTACTCCAAAATGTCGTCGTGCACTATGACCTAACATTTCAATTCTGAATGTTAATTGGGTCATGACCCCCCACAGCATCAATTTTGGTTGACAGGTATGCTGTGCGCCGAGTATAGGACAAAATTTGTAGCTCTCCATGGGCAAGTGGTGGCATCTCCATATGAATGAAACATTCTTGAGAGGGACGTTAAACAACGTACAATCAATGAATCATCTTAAAAACCACTGCACAAGAAAATTGACTTTACTAGTATAGTCTTCAGAATTACGACTTCATGATCAAAAACTATACCTGACATTGGAAAGTGAATTCTTTATTAAATAGTGATGTGATATGAGTTATTTCCCTTAGCCTGAAACAGTGTTTCATCAAGTGTATGAACTTCCCAAATACAATTTCTGTTATGTCGTATACTACTTCCATTTAGTTGCTCAACTGTTATTTTTGAGAGAATTTTGTATAAACTTTAGAAGAAAATAAGTTTGTTTTGATAATTTGATTTTTTTCCCTTCATTTATGGCACAGAAAAAAATTCCCTACAATGAATACCAACACAAAAACTACTTTTTATATCGATGTTAAAAGGTACTTGTAGTTATTAAAAAGATTTGTTTGTATCTGAATTTATGAATGGTAAATTCATTGACGAGTCATACATGTATTTTTTACACTTTGTACACCCTAGTGTTATTTTTGTTGATATAGAAATATTTAACTGTGTATAATATGCTAGTTCATAATATAGGTAATAAGGAAACAATAATCCTCTAAGCTTTAAATGCATTGTAATGAAAGACAAATTGATTTATATTTGTTTCTTTTATTAATTAATGTTTATAAAGTATATAACAGAAAACAAGAACTGATATAAACAACAAACATCTTAGGCTTACTGCCGGTGTAAAGACGAATAATGACCCCCGTCGAATAATGACCGGGGGTCATTTTTCAACGACAAAAAATGACCCCCTACCCGTAGAAAAAAATTCATTTTTTGTAGAAAAAGTGTCCTAGGGGGTCATTATTTTATATGTTAGTCGTATGAAAAATTGACCCCCATTGAAAAATGACCCCCTTTAAAGTGAAAAGAGATTCTTTAATTGTCAAGTAAATAAAATTTCTTTTTAATATTCCTCCTTATAGTGTTTGCTTAAAGAATGATATTCCACTTGTTTTTAGAAATCAAACCATGCAACAATCGGGTTCCAATACTCTTTAATAGAAAAATTAATTTTTCCTTCATTTCAACTTTTAGCTTTTATAAGTTTGGCAAATCCTATTTGACAATGAAAGAGGAGGAAATTTTTAGCCCCCCCCTCCCGAAAAAAAAAATTACGTTTAATCAAAAACAAACAAAAAATAAATGAAAAGCAAAAATATAAATAAAACTCTATACCTTTCAATAAAACTGAAAGAGGCTCTAGATAAAATATTGAAATGAAGTTAAGCCTTCACACAAGTTCAATCATATAATAATTTACTTCGCCATGATTAAAGCATACTTTAAATGTTGTTGGGGGTATACTTGAAAGTATTGTGGCAGAGTAACAGTTAAAAATTAGTAGAATAGTAGATTATTTTAAGCTTAGAAGAATTACACGCTTAGTTTGGACTTTCAGTAAGGCCTGGCATTCTCGACGTTACCTAATTAGCTTCTGAAATTGACACAGCTTCCCTTCACTGTTGAAATATACAAATGATAGAAATGCGGCCGAATGTCAACTGGTGTAGTAAATAGCCAATTAAAAGTTCTCTCACGGCACAGAGGTGGGGCATAAGTCGTCTGATCGTTATCAACAACATTTTTAAGTTCCTATGTTATTAATTTCGTAACCAATGAGAATCTACTAGTATTCTCCATTATGTAGCGCCGAGAAAGTCACGCCCTACTGAAAGTCCAAAGATAGGGTAAAATACTCCTATTTTTAGTCCCTCCTTATAGAAAAATAAGGGTAGGATAGTTTTTTTTGTTGCTTTTGTTGATAATCAACTTCCTCCTAAATAAGTAAGGGGGCGGGGTGCGTATAACACCTAAAAATATGCTTTGGAAAGCTATGGGCTAGTGTAAAATACACACTCTTATGCAAAAACTATACATGTAAAATAACCTTTTGATTTAGCACACAGTATTAATTACATTTCTTATTTCTTATTTTACTCCACGATTTTACCCAGTTCTGAGTATAATTTTCAGAGAATTTATATATGAAAAACAGAACAAACATTTTCATTTTTGTAACGTCTTCTTTATACTGTATCATAATATGAAAATTTAATTGAAGACCATTTCTTTTATGTCCCTGTAATCGAAGATTCGGGAGTATATAGTTTTATCGTGTCCGTCTGTATGTCTGTTTCTCCGCAAAAACTTTAACCTTTACCATAACTTTTCATTTATTGTAGCTATGTCTTTCAAATTCAATATGTGTACATTCTTTGTGACAAGACCTTACTTTGGGTACCATAAGATTTGACCTTTTGATCTTTACCTTGGAGTTTGTCCCATTTTACACAAAAATGCCAAATTTTTAATTAATTTACTTTGGCTATAACTTTTAAACGGAAGATACTAGTACTCTCATACTTCATAAAATTTAATAAATGTAATCCTTGTTACATTAAACCTTTCTTAAGTAACCATCAACTTTGACCCTTTGACCTTTGAGTTTGACCTTCCTTTCAAACACTTATCCTTAGCCATTAATTTTTAACAAGTGGTGCTAGGGCTTTCCTATTTTGCAATTGTATTTCTTGTGAGAAGACCCTACTTTGGGTACATTATATTTAAATTGCCTTTAAGAAAAGTTTAATCCTCACTATGTTGCCATACAGGGGCATAACTGTTTACAAATACATCTTTATATACCCCCGTAAACGAAGTTTCGGGGGAATATAGTTTTTGTCGTGTCCGTCTGTCTGTCTGTCTCTCTGTTTGTCTGTTTGTCCGCAAAAACTTTAACCTTGCCCATAACTTTTGATTTAGTGGAGCTATGACTTTCATATTTCATATATGTATTCCTTGTGACAAGACCTTTCTTTGGGTACCACCAAATCTAACCTTTTGACCTTGACCTTGGAGTTTGACCCACTTTTACATAAAAATTTTACTTTGGCTATATCGTTTGAACAGTAGATACCAGAACATTTGTACTTCACATATGTAATGTTTGTTAAAAGACCTTTCACTCGATACCAACAACCTTGACCCTTTGACCTTGACCTTGTAGATTTCCGTACTTGTGAAAAAACTTTAACCTTGGTCATTACTTATGAACAGCAACGGAAAGGGCATAAATATAAAATATATAAACCTTGTGAAAAGAACCTTCATTGGATACAAAGATCTTTGACCCTTTGACGTTGACCTTTGAGATTGACCTACTTTAAAAAAGCAAACCTTAAACATAACTTTTAAAGAGTTAGGGCTGGTGCTTTCATACTTTACATATTTGATCCTTATGACAAGACCTTTCATTTGATAACAATAACTTTAACCCTTTGACCTTACTTTGACCCTTTGACCTTGACCTTGGAGTTTGACCTACTTTTTAAGAAACTGAACGTTGACTATAACTTTTGAACGGTCAGGGCTAGGGCTTTCATGCCCTACATAAGTATTCTATGTGGCAAGACCTTTCATTTGATACTAATTACATTGACCTTTTGACCTTGACCTTGGAGATTTTTGTACTTATTAAAAAACTTTAACTTTAGCTAACTTTCAAATTTCACAATTGTTTTCCAGTGAGAATACCCTACTTTTGGTACCAATTAATTAAATTAGCATTTAAGAAAAGCTTAATCTTTGCTATGTTGCCATACGGGGGCATCAGTGTTTTACAAACACATCTTGTTATATATAAGAGGAGTTGCGGATAAGAGATGGATACTCCAAAGCGTAACAGACGGACAGACATCCCAATCACTATATACCCTCTCGCTTTTTAAGCGGAGGATAAAATAATGTATGATACTGCAGATTTTTTCTGTCAGAACGATGATTCCTACCATCGAAAAACAATGTTTACCTAACCCTTTAGGCTCGATAAATCTTTACTCCTTTAAATTCTGAATCATCGCATTGACCTTAAAATATGGCTATAATCGTATGTTATGAGATAAACATATCATCAATTTATTCCAAATAAGCTCAGGTGAGCATTTTGGCCAATATGCTTCTGTATCCAATTTTTTTTTTTTGCCCCCTAAAAATTTCAGCTTTAATCAACAGGGAGTCATTTTTCTACGGGGGTCATTTTTCTTCACGTGGGTTCTGCAAATTTTTAGGGTGGGGACACTTTTTCTACGGGCAAAAAGGTCATTTTTCTACGTCGAATAATGACCGGGGGTCATTTTGCGCTGTCGAATAATGACCCCCGGTCATTATTCGATGGGGGTCATTATTTGTCTTTACACCGGCATAAATTAAACTAAAATGTACATTTCATCATAACGGCCATAAAATGACAAAGGGTTGAAGTGAGATAAAAAGATTACAACCATAATAAACATCTAAACAATTGCTTCCTTGCAGATTTTTTTCTTATTAATTGGACTTCCATCCATTTCAATATTAAAAAGAAAAAGTGAGAATAAAATTTACATGTAATTAAAGGAAATATTTAAAAAATTCTTTAAAAAAAATGTTGTACAGTAAAATTTGATAATAAAAAAAATGTTTCCTGTCTCAGTTGTGTATAACAGTTAATTTCATGCATGCAATACAATTGTAACTTTTCATGCAGTTGAACAAATGATATATACTTGTAAGAATAAAACACAATTTTCAAGTAATGGACAAAAGCAATGTAGTTATTAAATTGCACCAACATATTCCAAGATTAAAAGCATCTCAAAATTTCTTCAAATAGAAAATTTGCCATCTTCTATTACACTCTATCTATTAATCCAGTCTCGTCGTTGCTAGCTTGGGAAGCCATTTTCTTTTTCACCCATGTTAAAGCATGTGCTATCCTCTTGGCATGCTTGTGAGATGCACCTGTTATGTCTCTGATGTTCTGATTAGTCAGTTTAAAAAGCTGCTCTAAGTATTTGTAGTTTTGTCCAACCACAGCACTGGTATACATGGGAAGGCCAATGGAGGTGAGGAAATCAGGAATGGAGGAGGTTTTGAGCTCAGAACCAGTGGAACACTTGTCGGCAAGATTGTCCATTTGTATCTGGAAAAAAAATCACTTTAATTTACTACATTGCAACACAGAGGAAATGTGATAAGATTACTGATACTGTATAAAGGGTTATTTTCACCCTTTCACACTTGCTAACAATTTTGCCATATTCTAAATTCTTAAAGTTCTGTTTAAGAAATTATACGGTGTTTTTTGAATTTGCTTCGTTTTAAATTTGCCCACTTGTGAGAAGGGTGAAAGTGGCATTAATAAAACAGGGGCAAAAATTTCCCTGCATACAGTGAATAAGAAGTTTTGAAAACTCAAAAGTTGGTATCCAAACTGGAAACAATTTACAATCCTTACCACAGGTCTGTTTTGGGAAGTCAGTGAGTGCACTCGCACCTGTTCCAGTACAGTGCACACACTAGCCACATCTTGCTTCAGTTCCTCCGAGTACCTCTGAATTAGAAGGGGTGGAATCTGGCATTCTCCTTGCTGTAAAATATAGTTATAAATTTGATCGAATGGTGTTCAATTCAAATGAAAGGATCGATGTTGAGCAATTTTCGTGACAGATCACATCTGCATGAACTTAATGCGAGTCTAAACTCATAAAATATGTTGCAAACAATGAAAATAGACAGCAGATTTTTATTTTGTAGTTTGGTGTATGTAAAGATATAATTTTTACCTTTGTAGAATATGGCTCTTGTGCAAGGTTGATATTCTCATCCCCTAGCTTAGCTGTAATGAGTGACACTAGGGATTTCTTGACATTTCTGAAGTCTTTGGGAGAAGACACCGGTCTAGAAATGTCTACAGAACTTGGTCCATTTTTTGGCACTTGTTTATCACTATATTGCACTTGTCCCTCTTGGATTGATATGGCACCTTGGGAAGATGTTCTTCCCTGAAGTTCTCCTGTGGGGGTGGAGTCTGATGAACCCCCTACGGAGCCCCTTTGTCTCTGAACACACTCTTGTCTTGATTGATTCTGGCCTCCCTCATGAAATACAGAGAGGGGCCCAAAGGGGCACATCACTTGAACATGTGAATCCTTCTTTGAGTTTCTATACTTTGTAACAACCTTGTTTGGGAATGGTTTTGATCTTTCACAGTCAGTAGCACCGTATGGATGTCCATTCACCTGATTACTAAACTTAGAGCATCGTGCCTCAGAATCACACGAAGAAGTTTGCGTACCAACATTTGAACACATGACAACAATGAAGTCCCCAAATACAGAATTCTCTTCAGCACAAGGAGTCACATGATCCCCTGGGTGAACACAGGAGGGGTCACTTCTCCTGACCATGTGATTGATCTCGCACACCTCCCGGTCCTCCTCCGTGAAGTCTCTGTCACTCCGCTCCATGTCTGACATCTGACTCTCCCCTCCACAGTTCTCCACACTGGTACGCCCACTGCTGGCACTCCCCCTCCCGCTGCTGTTGGCCTGCCGACTGCAGACATACCGAATCTCCTCCACCGTCCGGTTCTGGCTCACAGGCTGAAGATTTTTTTTGTTGTATTGTAGAAGAGACACATGACGCGTCTGGTTCTTGGCTGATATCATGTAGCCTTGCTTGTTGAAAACTTCTTTGTGACCTAGATGCTCCCAGCTGCCATAGCAACCAGAGTCCCTACTTCCTGGACATGTGCGGTGATGACAATCACCAAAGCTCATTAGCCGAGGAGAGTAGCAGTACAAGGTTGCTTGGTTAGACATACCATTATGGCTCCCTATATCTGGAAATTCATCATCTGCAATGAAACGTCATATTTTTACAATTTTTTCTTTTACAATAATAATTTTTGCTTAACATTATCTTTGTATCATGATATTGGTTGTTAATTAATGCTTTTGCAATTTCTGAGTGAGACACTAATTTATTTAATCTTATCAGTTTGAACTTGATTAAAAAGCTACCTTCAGCACTACATAACAGTTCAGCTGCTGTTAAAAGTTTTGCCTTCTGCTGGGGGTCCCTGATGCCAAGTGCATCAAGGTCACTCTCAGTTAAGTCAGCAAAAATTTCCAGGTGCTCAAAACCATTCTCAAGAGACTTTTTCTAGACTCTGAAAAAATTTAAGCCCAGTTATAGAATATATAAACTTTATATCACTAATTTAATATTTGGGAAGCTGGATGAGTAAAGTTTGTGCAGTGCACATCGATCAATTTTAAGGAAAAAACAACAGTCACACCTTGTTATCTTGAACTCCATTGGAACCAAGAAAAAATCTTAAGATAAAGATATCAAGGTAAAAATACAAAAGGAATATAGTTGGGACTCTATGGTATTCAAGATATCAATATTTGAGATAAGACAAAATCCTACTGTAAGTTGTCCAACAAACCTCTAATCCCAGTCTATAGAGGAGCTCCTCCACAGTTCTGGGTTTGGCTTTCCTGGGGGTCCGGCGAGGGTTGGGGGTCCTCCTCTGGTTACCCTCGGTGACGCTATGACTACAGGTCTCAGTGTACGAGGCCCTAAACCAGCCCATCCTCCCACTCAGTACCCCCTTCCAGAGGGCCCCCGCTTTCTTGGTGGCCACCCAGAATGTCTCCTCTAAAAATAGACCTGTTCTTATTTCATTCTTAAAATTTTCAACAATTATGCAATATCTATGGTTTTTATTTTTTATCAGTTATTTTTTATTCATAGTCCTACTTTTCAAGATATAAACACATAATTCTTCAAAGAATAGTTTACCATTTATCTTCACCTGAAACACATGAATAGGGTTTCAATATATAGTTGAGATTCAAACTTCAGTTAAACAGAATTCATTTAAAAATTTTCAAATTGCAATCATATGCAAAGATATATTAAGGAAACAGTTTTGACTGTTAATTGATTTTAATTTCATTTTACTGGACCGGGACCTTGATATGCAGCATGTCCACCTCCGTTTTGGACGGGGTGTAATCTGTATGGACCCGTACTAGGGAGGAGGAAGTGTTGTCAAGGTTACCAGCCATTCCTTTGGCATTTTCAAATACTTAACTGCAAACTTTATGAACCTGAGGATCGGACTATCATAAAATAATTTTGGTTGATATATTGTAAAGTTTTTGTAAACTTTTTGGATGAACAATGTACAGTATTTTTCACCAAAATTCCAGCATTTCATTAAAGACTACTTTACAGTACAGAATTTGGGTCTAAAGAATATCACATGTATGTTGTTATTTTAATTCATTATATATCTTTTAAAGATAATAATATTATTTTAAAGCATCAGTATTAAAATCAAATAACTTCACTGTAAGAATATATTAATTACTGAGTATATGCATTTCACTAAAAGTGAGTTTAAATGAAAATTGAGCCAACTATTTTGTCATCATTTAAACAAAGAAAATTGTACAATTTATTCAGTATAAAGTTAAATAGAGGGAACAGTCTATTCAGGATATTCATTTCTGTGCTGGAAATCACAAATTGAAGTTTTATAATTATGTACAACTGATAGAATTGTAATCACTTCAGATACTTGAATACTGTCAGTGTGTTGGTGTCTCCTTGTCCCACATAGAGATTGTTCTCAGCATCCACACACACACTGCGGGGATACTTTAACCTTTGTTGTTGTGCGAGTAATAGAGACAAGAACTGACCGTCCTGATCAAGGAGGTGAACAGTGTCACAGACACCATCACACACCAAGATATGGCCGACCACATCAGTGCAGATTCCAAAAGGAAAGATCCCTGACTTCTGACCTGTGTAGGAGAACCTGTGTTGTCCTGATTTATTCACCACCACTACTCCTTTAAAAAAGTCTGATGTACAGATATCTCCATTGAAGTATTCTATGATGAAGCGTGGATCCCTATACAGTCCCTGTCCTTTGTTATCCCTCTGTATGTTCTGTAGTGCGTTTTCCTGTCTTGCTGTACCTAGTGACTTTGCCCTCTTCATCTCTCCTCATCCCCACCAGTAAGTCCTCGTTGATGTGTGAGGAGTGTATGCTGAGTGGTCTCCAGTCTCCAGTTTTAATGAATTCAGTGATATTATTATCCTGTATTATCCTATTTATGACTTCATTGTCTCGGTCTGTAAAGATCAGATCTCCGTCTTGTGTCAATGTATGGTAACCTTCAAATTTACCACTGGTTTCTATCTTCTGTATCACATTCCCCTGTAGATCTGTTTGGACAAGATTACCATCACAGTCACTGATCCAGAGTCTGTCTGATTGATTTAGTGATATATGGAATACGCTTTCAACACCTGGTACATTGAATTCCCTGACCTTGGTGACAGAGGCAGATAGAGACAATGTTTGTTTCTTGTCAGATTTCATGTCTTTATCTTGTTTTGTCTGTTCACTTGCAGATTTCATTGATGTAGAGAAAGAAGCAGTTTCCATTGGCTTTACTTTTCTTATTTTTTCTTTTCTATTTGTTTCAGTTATCTTCCCTAGTAATTTAGCAACATCATTTTTGCTGTATTCAGCAGAAGAAAATTCTGGTGTGACAGGTTTTGTGGTTTTTGGTATGGATTTTATTTGTAAGTTCCCTGGAAGTTTAGTTGTGAAGTCAGTAAGCTTAGTAGAGGACAGGTAACTCTGGAAGTCCTTACCAACATCACTGAGATAGGCAATATAATCCTCAAATGTATTCTCTTGGCTCTTTAACTTCTCCAGTAATGACTTCTCCATTTGCTGTAATTCTTCCATATTTTCTGAGAGCACTGTGTCCACCATGTTTTTTAGAGACTCAGCTTCAGCCTTCATGGATGTCCGTATGCTGTCTATGATCTGTTTAACTTCTGTAGCATCTTCCTGAACTTCTCTCTGCAAATCCTGTGATGTAGGAACAAAGTAATTATGGATTTTAGAGAGTTCCTTTTGGCAAATTTCAAATTTCTCTGTGTATATGATTTCTAAATCAATAAATTGATGCCCCCGATGATCTTGCATTGTTGAACACTTTGAACATAGAGGAACATTGCATTCTTCGCAGAAAATATCAATATCTTTAGTGGGGTGGATCTTGCATTTCTCCACAGGAAGTTGTCGTTTACGTTGTTGGTAAAGAACCATCTCATGGTTCTTGTTTTCTGAAATCTTCAGATGTTTGTCTCTGCATGGTTTACACATCTGTTGATGACAGGAATTGCAGTAGAATTCACAATTTCTCACACAATCTTCAACACCACACTCTAGAAAGTGTTGGGCAGTGCCTGGAATTTTCGGTTTGGAAAGCGCCATCTAAAATTTACATTGAAAAGTATATTACAGTTTTACATATTGAATTTAATTAAGGAATGAAGTTTATTTCAACTTATGTTATACGATATAACATAACTTGGGACAGTTTACGGTTTATAAAAAAGCGTTAACTGCCCCAAGTTATGTTATATCGTATAACATAAGTTGAAATAAGCTTCATTTCTTATAATTTAATTTCGGTATAGACAATGAGACAATTTTTCCTCCGGAAAAGGGCTTCAAATATAGCATATTTTAAAAGTAACGTCAAGCGGAGTATTATGTTTTTGACGTAACTCATTGTGACGTAGGCAAGTAATGTTATGCAAAATTTTATATGTTCCTCTGATTTAGAATGATTCAGCCAATGAAATTGCTTGATACAAGTGAAATTAAATTATTTAAGTTTAACTAAAATCAACTTCAGAAAATGATATATACATGTATTTTAGTTGTCTGAATAATCAGACTGGGAAGGAATGCCCCCATAAAGGACTAAAGTTTGTAAACTATTCTGTTGTATTAAATCTTAGATTATCTTAGACAAATAGGACTTCAATAAAAAATGCCCTTTTTCAGAAAAAATTGAATTTCATGTCTGCAAGCATCTCAGGTACTTACTTTTGACACAAATGACCTCTAAATGTACATATCTGTTAACAAACTTAGAAATGGCGGAGTTAGATTTTAGTCGAGACTTAGACGAGATCTGTAATTTACTTCCTGGGTGGAAATAAATATAGATTTAAATGTCCCAAGTACAACTGTAATTTAGTACAGAATGAGTAAGAGTGTTCACTACAGTAACATGATATTACAGGGAAAAAAATGTTATAAAGTAAATAAATTTATTTTACAAAATTATCCAAATTTTAATTGTTTTAAAAGGTATATGATTATGGGTATTTGTTAGCTGTAATGAGCCTAAAAAAAGTACTGGTTGTTAAAAAATCTTTTCAAGAACCACTGGGCACAGATTATCACCAAACTTATACACAAGGATGGGGATATGTTGTAGATTAGAAAATATATCCAAGACATCACCCTGGGGGTAAAGAGTTTGGTCTTAAGGTTGCGTTAAAATTGAACAAAAGTTTTGTATTGTTAAAACTTTAATATTTTGCTCACTGTATGGACTAGGATAATCAAATTGTGTCAAGAAATTTAGACAAAAGTAGGGTAAGGTCATGAAAAAATCTTCTTCTAAAACCACTGTGCCAGAAATACTGAAGCTTATGTGAAAGCATTCCGGGGTAGTGTAGATTCTAAATTATTTAAATTAGGATCCACGGGGTATAGGGCGGGGTCACAATAGGGAATCCCAGATTTACAATGAAATATGAAGAAAATCTTTGAAAATCTTCTCAAGAACTACTGGACCAGAAAAGCTGAAACTTATTTGGAAGCATCCTGGGGTAGTGTGAATTCTAAATTAATTGTTCAAATCATGACCCCATGGGCAAGGCAGGGCCACAACTGGAAATCCAATTTTTACATTGAAAATGTTTAGGAAAAGCTTTTAAATCTTCTTCTCAAGAACCACATGGCCAGAAAAGTTAAAACTTGGGTGGAAGCATCCTGAGGTAGTGTAGATTCTAAATTGTTCAAATCCCGACCCACGGGGTTGGATTGGGCCACAATAGTCATTACAAGGGCGGATCAGGTGAAGAACAAAGTTACTCAGGTTAGCAATTTTCAATTTGAACACTATGTCTTTATCTTTACATTATGTCTCTATTTTTTTTTTTTTTTGCAGATTTTCCAATTAAGGAATTCTGAGATTTTTTCTGTTTTTTTTTTAGTTTTGCAGTTTGAACTTTGTGATCTTAATTTTACTTTGTGTGTGTGTTTTTTTTAATTTTGCAGAACTGTCTAGGTCATTCTGGCAGTGAGTACCATGCATTCCAAGGATGAAGCAGTCCCAAGTGAGTTCAAAACACAAACAAACTATCTCAGGGAATACGTCTCATGGCTGTGTCACGGTGGCTCTTCTGGGGGCCTAACCACTGTCTATAACACTGAATTCCAAAATGGACACTAGTCATTAATTGTACAAGAACAGCTGGTCAGTTTATCTACCATATTGTTTTGGATAATCACTGTGACCTGATGGTTACATTTACTTGCAGAAACTGTGACATATAAAAGTGTGAGAGTTTAGGATTGACCTGCTTGTGTGTCTGTGAGTATTTTTTTTTCTAAAATCAGCAGCAATGTCTAAGGCATTCATTTCAGTGTCTCATAGCTGCATTTTCCATTTCCATATTAAATCAGATTTAAGTAAAAGTCTCAATGAGCAAAGTATATTTTTGTTTGTTACAAAATGCAATAGATTGTATGAAAATTAAGTATTCACATTTTCTCTAAAAGAGTCCTGGAATTTTTCAGAAAATATTAAAGTAATGTAATTAGAATGGATGTCATCTTCCTTACTATTCAGTTACATGTCATTTGAATAGCAATTAAAAAACATTTTTTGATTAGTGAGAAAAATATTCAGTTTCATTAAATAATGGAATTAATAAAATGAAAAATGGAATTCAATATGAAGATCATTATTATTTCAGTCGCACCAACACTTGAAAAGAAGCTATGTGTTTATTTTACAGATATATTGTTATCCTTGATATTTTAAAGATTTTTTTTAAAAAATATTGCAAGAAATTTATAATTTAGCATCTGTAATACATGAACCAATCTTGACGACGTAATTATAAGACTGCAGATATTCTGTTGATCATTCATAGATTTTCTATCACCTGAAAT